CCTAATGTGCTAGAACACTTTCCATTTCTTTAGTTAAGATAACATTTGACATTTATTGAGGCCTTATTAAGGAGTAAATTTTTTTTTTTTTTTTGAGACAGAGCCTCAAGCTGTCATCCTGGGTAGAGTGCCATGGCATCACAGCTCACACCAACCTCCAACTCCTGGGCTCAAGCAAGTCTCCTACCTCAGCCTCCCAAATAGCTGGGACCACAGGCACCCGCCACAATGCCTGGCTATTTTTTGGTTGCAGCCATCATTTGGTGGGCCAGGGCTGGATTTGAACCCGCCACCTTAGGTGTATGTGGCTGGCGCCTTAGCCACTTGAGCCACAGGCGCCGAGCCTGAACTGGTGTTCTTAAGGCTAAGTGCCCCACACCCCTCCATGTACAGCTACGTGCCCGCATGCTTTGTGCTGCTTCTTGCTGTTTGTATTAACAGTTTGTATCCCAAAAGATTGCTCAGCTTCTTACAGATGCCAACAGAAGTTTGTGAGGAAGAAAAGAAAACCCATATCTGTTATGGAACTGTGAGCCACTGAGAGCATGACTTTGTGGCCCAGGGAAGGGCCAGGAATCCACGCTGAATTATGCCCTTGGGACAGCAGCCCAGGCTCAGGCAGAATTACCTGCCATATGCATCCATCTTCACGGAGGCTGTAGCAGCCTGTTCTATGATTTGGGTGCCCCATCGTGATGCTAACCTCCATGCTTGGCTTTGGTGTCTGCCGAGTACCTTCATGCACCTTGTTAAGTGTAGATTGTCATCCCTTGCTTTATGGATGAGGCCTAAAGGCCAGGGAGCTGGCAGCTGCCTCAGGGCACACAGTGAGAAAGCACCTGAGCCTGGACAGGACTGTCAGCTCCCCACATGGTTTCTCCTCAGGAGGAGAACTGTGCCATAGGTGTCTCTGCCCATTTCTAAGTCACCTCCTCACCTTTTCTGTATCTTTCCCAACTAAAGGGAATGGATAAAAACACATTGGTGAGATGGATAAAAACACATTGCTGTGCAGAATATACTACCATTTATATTTGTGTTAAATCACATCTGTACCCCAGTATAAAGAAAATGTGCTCCAGAATCTAGGAATAGTCATTTTCAGGTATTTTCTGAATCAAATTAGATTGAAATGCAAAACATCTCAGTTATTCTTAACCCTGGCTATATTCCCAAAACGTCTGAGGAGCTTTAGAGTAGAGTACAATGCCAGCCCCCTTCCCTGCCAAATCCAGTCAAGTCCAGCTCTGGAGCGTGGACCACAGCATTGTGATGAGAACCACTGAATCCACTGGAGGGTTAGTCTGGGCAGTGGCTGTGAGGGCAGTGTTGTTCCTGCCAGTGCGCAGCTGAGCAGAGCCCCCAGGGCAGCAGAAGGTTGACGACCTAGGCATCTCTGCATATTATTTGAGATAAAGTAATGTCAGTACTGGATAACAATGTAGAGTCCACAGTCTGCATCTTTCACACTCTGGCTTTCAGTATTTAAGATCAGATCCTAAGTACTGTGGACTCGCAGTCTGTCAGAAGGAGCCTGAAAGTGTTCTTCCCCTCTTTTTAGGGATGGGCGTGTCTTGGGTGTGCTGGAGGTGTCCCGCTCCATTGGGGATGGTCAGTACAAGCGCTGTGGTGTCACTTCTGTGCCAGACATCAGACGTTGCCAGCTGACCCCCAATGACAGGTAAAAAGACCTTACCAAAGGCACAGGTATGCGTACACAAGGCTTTATTTCTCTTCCTGACTTCTTCCAATTTGTATCGAACCTTAGCTGGGAGGAATGTGGATAGACTGCAATGTCTTAGATGCTGTGCGAGCCCTGAGGTACAGAGGTAGGTAGAAGGCAGCTTCTCCTCTAGTGGGTCCTTGTGGTCAGGGAGCACATGGAATGGGCTGTTGCTATTCAGTTTGTCCCAGGAGTGTGAAGAGCTCTGAGAGGCTTTGGTAGTGAGGGAAGGGTGATGTCCCTGGTGGAGAGGAGAGGCTTTCCTGACAGAGGGAACCTACACTAAGGCATTAAACTGACCATGTGATGAAAGCGTGACCAGATAGGTTCTTGGAGGACACAGGGAGTGATGGGAAAATGATGCTAGGGTATTTTGAGGATAGATTGTAAATGGCCCTCAATTCCATGCTGAGAAGTTTAAATTTTAGTTTATAGTAACTGGTGAAGAATCATGGGAGGTATTTAAGCAGAGCCAAGCTAGGATGAGAAGGAGACTGCCCATGTAGTTGTCTGTCTCCCATTCTGCATGCCTAAAGATAAGGCACCACCATGCCTCATGCAGGGAAGTCCTTAAAAAGTAACTGTTAAAAGTTGTGTCATAGAGCCAGGGAGGCCCGTTAGGATATGATATGGTAGCCCTGAACTAAGGCGGTGGCAGGAAGGAGACTAGTAGAAAGCTCAGGAAAGCAGGATACACAGGGCTGATTTGCTGAGGGAGGTGAGAGAGACTGGGGACTCTGCAGCTGGGATAGTCCTTTGAGGTATAGCTCAGGAGTCCTGCCCCAGTGCTGCGGGTGAAGAGCATACACCTTGCTCTGCACCTGCCTGCTCAGCCGCATTTCTCAGACCACACTCCCCTGTTTTCTGCACCTGCCTTCAGCGTGCCGCATTCTCCCCCAGCGTCGGCTCTGTGGGCATGTTTCCGGCAGCCCCTCCTCTGGTTTTCCTCATGGTGCCTTAGTAAAGTCTTATCTGCTCCACACTACCCAGGTCCCTGTCTGCCTAGTACTCTCATCTTTGCTTCTGTAGGTTCCCTTCTCGGTTGTAATCATAGGTCTGTGTGATTAGTCATTCCAGGTCTGCCCAAGTCCAGGAGTCTTCTTGGACTTGTCCCTACTGTGTCCTTAGCAGGGACCATGCACTAAGGAAATACTGGTTGAATGAATGCCCAGTCAGAAGAAGAAAACAAAGATATGTGGTATTACTGTGAGAAAAGAAAGGTGGTTATACTTTTAAAGCTGTGAAGAAGCACCCCCACCTTACCCCCAACTTGCCAGGAGAACTAGAACTATCCTGTCAAATCCACTGGCATTCAGAAAGATGTCCACAGGCCATCTAGAGGAGGGGAGTAGATTCTGAAAGGGAGACCATGCTGTTTTCAAACAAAACAGAAGTAGGCAGCTGTCCCCTCCTTGGGTCTGGGGCTCACGCAGTCCCCTTTTGGGCAGCCTGCACTCAGGTGTTTCACTGAGGTCAGACAGTTTTCTCTGCTTTAAGTCTTTGGGAAGTGGTACAAGACATGTGGTGATAGCAACGTGCTTTATTTACCATAACACCTGAGGTTTAGTTTACCTCCATCTCCAGGCCCTCTTATTTTAAAAACATTTTGCTGAAACCCATTTATATTTCTTCCTGGTGTTATAGGTTCATTTTGCTGGCCTGTGATGGACTCTTCAAGGTTTTTACCCCAGAAGAAGCCGTGAACTTCATCTTGTCCTGCCTTGAGGTAAGAAATCTCACAAGGGGGTACCAGTAGCTGGGGGTACAAATGCACCTTAGTTTTTAAAGAAATAGAAGTCTTGAGATTCCCTGTGTCCCCCCCACCCCCCGTGTTGGGTGGACCCCTTGTGCTCTTCTCCACATGGACTCCGCTCAGGGGACTCACTTGTCCTCTTGTCTTGCCAGCCCTCACCAAGACCAGAGCAGTTCTTCCTGTTGGTGATAGTGTCTTAGGAGAGTGACAGGGTACACGATCACCCTGTCTACTCATGCCCCTTTCTTGTTTGGTAGGATGAGAAGATACAGACCCGAGAAGGGAAGCCCGCTGTGGACGCCCGCTATGAAGCAGCCTGCAACAGGCTGGCCAACAAGGCAGTGCAGCGGGGCTCAGCTGACAATGTCACCGTGATGGTGGTGCGGATAGGGCATTGAGGGACGGTGTGTGCAGGGACACCGTGGTGTTGACCCAAAGGTTCATCTTGTGTGTGCACATTCTGTTTGTTTTGTGTGCTCCTATGGGACCCCTGTGGTTGTAAATAAAGGTTTCTTTTTTTTTTTCTTAGTCTTTTGAGTTATTTTTGAGCCACTCTTAACCCTTCAGAGGTTGTGTTTGCTTTTGAAAGTGCTCTGGGTCTGTCTTTGTTAAAACCATTAGTGGCATCTTGGACTGGCTCACATTGACCTGCAAGCTACAGGTCATGTAATGATTTGGAGTTCACAGCCATCTTAACATGTGCTCTTTCACCCTCATCAAGACCCTGGTTTGGGGGTGGTGCCTGTGGCTAAGTGAGTAGGGCACCAGCTCATATACCAGGGGTGGTTAGGTTTGAACCCGGCCCTGGCCAAACTGCAACAAAAAATAGCCGAGTGTTGTGGTGGGCGCCTGTAGTCCCAGCTACTTGGGAGGCTGAGGCAAGAGAATCCCCTAAGCCCAGGAGTTGGAGGTTGCTGTGAGCTATGACACTATGGCACTCTACCAAGGGCAATAAACTGAGACTCTATTTCTTAAAAAAAAAAAAAAAAAGACCCTGGTTTGGAAAGTGGCATTTTTAAATGAGGAGAGCAAGGTGACAATTGGTTAGAAACAAGGCTGGGACCAGCACCAGGGCTTTTGCAACCCGTTGACTCTTCCAGTTTTCCATACAAAAGGTGTTGCAAACTCTACCTAGCACAAGCCCAGGGTTAGCTGGGAAATAAACCCCACACAAGGTTACCATGAGGCTGTGTGCCCCATCAGACCCTCTGAGAAAGCATGTAGGAGTTGTTCCTCTGATGCTACTGGAGATAGGCGCCATCTTGCAGGCAGACGCTGGAGTACTGGGTTTAATATGTCTCCAGTCTGGATCCCCTCAGTGCAAAGGTGCACCATACTGGTGTGAGCAGTCTGGTGCTCAGCAGAGCCTCTGAAACTCAGCCTCCTGTATCAGGAGCTGTGAGCAGTTGGCACCATGCTAGGCTGCAGCTGACCTCTACTTGACCCCTCAGAGGGGCCTCTGAGAGAGAGGGTAAAAGGAAAAAAGGGTGCATGCCTGGCCCAGTCAGAGGAACATACTTTAAAATACTTCTAAGCACTTGTTTGTATCCATAGTTACAAAACAGGTCACAATTACCATAATTATTTTTCAGTAAAACAGCTCTTAGATCCTTTTATTTAAAAGTTTGGTTCAGGATGATGTAAGATTCTTAAAATGTGCCTTTTCAGATATGTCTGGTAACGTCCACTGGCTCCCATCCACACATACAGTCTTATCACCCAGGGCACTCCTTAGTGCTATACAGACCTCAGTGGCGAATGTTTCATGGAAACCTTCTGAGGGTCTGTGTCGTGGAAGCTGTAAATAAAAACTGATCAAAGAGGTACTGGGGCTGCCCCTTCCCTAGGGAGTATCCTCACAGGTTCCCATTCTATTTGAGGACTGGGACATCACAGTATAGCATCATGGAAGAAAACTTCAGCACCTCAGAATCAAGAAATAACAATTTATTTGGTAAATACCTTCTTACAGCAAACTAGGCATCAGTCTGTAAGGGCCACTGTCCCCAGTCTGGGAGAGGCATGGCACTGTGGCTTCCCTAGCAAAGCCCACTCCCATACCTTCAGTGGGGTCACCCGACCTGGAGGCAGGAGGCCATCTCTCCACCTGGCCTTCCAGAGGTCACTCCTCACTGTGCTTTGTGAACTAGGCAGAATGAGTAAGATTTCATCTCTTGTAGGAGATAAGCACCCCTAGCTCAGACATGGCAGTTCACTTCAATGTGCTCCCCCAGGAGATTGATTCTGAGAAACATTTCTTTGACGATCAGAGGCTCCAAAGAACACACCATCAATCTCTTAAGTCTTGCCCTTTGTTCTTAACAAATTGTGTCAGAGGTTCTTAAGTATTCAAACCACTCCACAAAGTAAGCTATATAAATGCATTCCATCTGGCTACATTACATAATAAATACTTCAGCAGACTGCTGTATAACACCCTTATGCTGAGAAAATGAAAGAGATGTGCATATGTGACTTTCAAGGGTAAAAGATAAATTCTCTAAAATATGTGCCCCCTGGATACAAATGAAATCCAGAGAAGGGTGTAGTTACACAGCGCCCTTATCAGACCTCTTGGGGATGCAGCACTCAGGCCAGCCCAGCACTTCCTGGTAGGGTGGATACAAGTCCTACTGAGAATCGGGCCAGGCCTGCTCAAGGGCACAAAGTGGCCAGTTTGTATATATTACTGTGCTTGGGGGGATAGCACCTGGGCTTCTGTCAGTCATTCAGGCCTGGCTGTGGTTACCTCATCTGAAGACCAGCTAGAAGGTTAAGGTGACTGGGCACTGCCTCTACTCCCAGGCCTGAGCACCTTGACTCCCCAGAGGTCCTGTGGCTTTAGGTCTCTGGGTGGAGTGGGGGGGCCACTGGAGGTAGCTGCTAAGGTCCTTGCCCTTTCTGCTACCTACTCTGGATAAGTGTGGGAGGCCACATTTAAACAAGCTGCAGGAGGACAGCCCTGTGTCTTCTCACAGGAACCGGCTGCCCTCCTCTGTGCTCATCACTGCCACAGAAGTGTGGCAGGCTTGGCACCAGCCTTCCCAAGGCCACTGTCAGCATTGAGCTTAGAGCCACACTGCACCCAAGTAGGCACGTTTCTTTAGAGGAGCATCCTAGAGCCGCTGGGCCCAGCCAGGCCATTCATGCTGCAGGAGCAGTCGGCTATCAGATGATGGGTCAGCAAGACTGGCTATCTCTAATCTGCAAAGACACTCTAGATCTTTTGTTTGGTGAGTCAGAGTCTCAGAGGGGATGAGGAAAGGGACCCTGTTGGCCTCTGGGGAGGGTGAAAGGGGCCTTTGCTGTGAACAGATTTGTAGAGGGAAAGAACATGGTTCCCATCTGGAAAGGCCATCGGTGAGGAACTTGGCGTGGTGATCTTGCATGCTTTAGAAGTTCAAACAGCTCATAGAAGTTGGGCCTAGATCCACTGTCCTCCCAGTGTGCTTCTGGCCCCCAAGGCTGCTGTGCTGAGGCCCACAGCAGGAGTCATGGGTTCTGTGGTCACTGCAAGCCAAGCAGTGCCCTGAGCACCAGCAGTAGAAGCACAGTGGGGCAGGAGCAGGCACAGAACCAGGGAGCCCAGGTGGAGATAAGAGCTGTTGGCTCTGGTGGCCTGCATTCCCACTAAGTAGTGTGGATACACAGCTCACTTTCCATTGGCAGCCCCATAGCCCTGCACAGGCTGATCCTTCCCCAGGTAGCAGCTCCCTACTGTCCATGAAAATCTGAAGAAAGGTGGGGTTTAGGCCATAGGAACAAAGCTGAGGCCATCTGGACAAGCTGCCCAACAGCCCAGGTCTGCAGCTAGGGATAAAGCAAGTGATCCCAGGCACGCTGACCATCTCCAGGATAACAGTACAGCAGGACATTTCCCCCTTTAAAGGATGGCAGCCCAAGATCAGCCCTGGTTCTGGGACCAACAGCTTGCATGTCACCTCCACAGGCCTGCCTGTAGTGGCTGTCTCTGTGCTGAACTACAGTGGCCATGTGGGCAGATTTGTAGGTGGGCCACCTCCTGCATGTGGCAACTGCCACTCTGACACCATCTAAACATTGTTCAGACTCTGCTTCATTTGCTTGGCGAAAGGAAGGGCCTGTGGTGGCTACTCACACGCCCAGGAGGACAGCACTGAAGTGGGAGCCGCTGCGCACCGTGAGAGAGGAGCCACTGGCGTTGTCCAGGAAGACAGAGGTGTACTGCCCCATCTGCAGTCAAGGATGCCTGTCAGGTGCCGGCTTGCTCTGTGCACCAGCAGGCCTCTGACAGCCTGCCCAGGATTGCAGAGCAAGGGATGGCAGGCTCTGGACTTAACCCAGCCCCTCTTCAAGTGCTTCTCCCTAGCTCCTTACAGGCTGTGTGTGAAGGGCGAGGCCTTGCTTAGGCCAGAATGGGCTGCAAGAGTCCCAACAGCTCTTCTGCTTCAGGGCTTTTCTGGAGCCTATAAGGGCTCTGAGACAGGTGGGAGGGCAGGCCTTGCCCCACAGTCCTGGCCCGTAGTCACCTGACAGAGCCATCTGTGAGAGCAGTGGATCTTGACAAGACCCAGGTGGAGCATGGACCATTTGAGTTCACCAGCCATGCTCTGTGGTTCCCCATGCCAGGCCTCCAAATGCCATTTGGCAATCGCAGAGCTGACTTTAGCTGGACAGCCTGGCCCCTAGCCCTGGCTCTGCTGCACGGGCAAACTGGGGGAATAACACCACCACCTTCCCCAGAGCTCAGTGGGAATTAAATAGGAGCTATATTCCACACACCTGCACTTCATTTCTTTATTTTTAAAGTAAATCTCACCTTTGTATCAATTTCTCTGAACACTTGCCCAAATCTCCACAGTGCTAAAAAGAGATGGTCACTTACAGTTGTATGCAGGAAGTAACTACATCTCTGGCTTCCCACAGTTGATGTGGTCCCAGGTGTCATCAGTGTGGGCAGAGAGCTGGCCTAACCCTAACCCTAACCCAGCCTCAGTATGCAATGTCCAGGATGTTTGGAAACTGGAGGCTGCAGAGGGGAGTGGCTGCTCTGGAGGGTGAGTATCCCCAGGGGCAAGCAGGGGTCTGGAGGAAGGAGAGCTGGACTTGAAGCCTGGTTCTGTCCAGACCAGGGTGCATGATGCTTTGGCTTGTCCCAGAGCCTCCCTGGGCTGCCCAGAGATCCAGAGCACCTGACCCACCCTGTGGCTGTGCCAGGTGTTGCTCCTCCCTGCCCAAGCCTGCCCCACACACCTGCAGATAGAGGATGCCATTCACTGAGATGGTGAAGAGCTCGCTGCTGCTCTCCATGCCCAGGACAGCTTCCAGGGAGCTGTTGCCGAGACAGAAAGGGTCAGCCTGATACCCAAGATCCTGTCAACTTCACCCACAACTCTAACTTACTCATGCCAGCCACCAACACCACATCACCCCAGCGCCTGGTCCTGCCAGTCTTCTCAGGAGGTGGTGTCTGAGCCCCGCCCCCAAGGGGAAGAAAGACACAGGGCCTCATCGAGCAGCAAAGTCCTGGCTCTGATAGGAAAAGGACATTGGCTGCTGCAGCTGGAGGCAAGGGCAATGGCAGCAGGACTGACTTTATAAGAGAGTGTCACTCTGTCTTCCAGGCTAGAGTGAAGTGATAATCACAGCTCACTGCAACCTGGAACTCCCGGGCTGCTGAGTAGCTGGGACTACAGGCGCAGGACCACACCTGCCAACTTTTCCTATTTTCTGTAGAGACGGGTCTCCCTATGTTGCCCAGCCTGCGGACAGAGGTTTTTAATAGTCTCCGCTGTGAATGGAAGGCCTGAGGTGGGAGGACAGGAGAGGCATGGTTACCCATGCCACTGTGGTGGTGAGGATGGACTGGACGGGGATGCCCGGAACCCCGAGCTCAGGGGGCCAAGCGGCTGGGGTGTGGGTCCAGCTGAGGCCACTCACACGTTGCGCTGGCACCGGGACTGGATGCAGATGAGCACGCGCAGGCGGTCACGGGGGCGCGGTGGCCCTCGCCTCGGCTGCTCCGCGAGCGCTGCGGGACGGGGGGCGTGGTCAGGGGCGGGACAGACAGACCCCCTCCTCCCCCGGCAACCCGACCGCGGGGCTCACCCACGTGCAGCGTGGCGGCAAGCGCATAGAAGCCGGTCACCGGCGCCGTGTACTGGCCGCTGGTCAGGTTCAGGCCCAGGCCCCGGTGGAAGGCGCCGTCAGCATCAGGCTGAGGGAAGCAGGGACAGTCACCGCCGTCCCGGCCGCCCCTCCCGTCCTGGTCACCCGGGCCCGCACTCACCAAGTAGTACACGCCGAGCTCCTGCAGCGCGCGCCGTGCCACCGACGCGTCCCGGCGCAGGCGACAGTGGAAGGCGGCCTCCACGCGTGGCGCCCGCTGGCCCGGGGCCAAGTGCGCAGCCAGCAGCGCCAGCATGCTGTCCGCCTCCTCGTCGTCATCTTGGTCGTCGTCCCCGGCGGTCGCGGGGCCTGAGACCAGGCTCGAGGGTGCCAGCCCGCTGACGCTGCAGGGCTCCAGCTCCTCGCGCTGGCGCTGGCGCTGCCGCACTGCGCCTGGCACAGAGCGGGCCAGATGTGGCTGCCTTCAAGGGACTACCCCACCCACGCAGTTCAGCCCTGAACCGGCAGAAGCCAGGCAAACGGGACAGCCACCAGGGTAGGGGTCAAGGAGGACACCCCTTAGCCTCCAGGGCCTCAGAAACGTTGCTACATGGTCCTGCAGCTGCTTCGCTTTCCTTGCATTCTTTTGCTACCTGGAAGCTCGGGACAGATGTACACCCAGGGCCCTGGTACTCCAGCCTCACCTCTCTATCCTACCCACAGGTTTTAGAAAGAAGCTGGGTGTCAATAGCTACTGTAGCTGGAAATAATGAGACTCTTCAGCCCTGAGATGACTATGTTTAAATGAGCGGGAAGTTGAATTCAAAGGGGAAAACAGCTCTCAGTAGCTCTTCCTAATAAAATCACTAGTAATTATAATGTGAGCCATTTGTCAGCTGCTGGCCCCAGTGCAGACACATCCCCTGCAGACAGCCTAATACACTCTGGGCCTCCCTTCTGCTGCCTCCAGCTGAGGCTGTCCCAGCCGGACCAGGTGGTGATTGTGGGTGCCAGGCAGGCCCCACCCTGTGTTGCCCTGGTCCACCATCCTCCTGCCTTACCACCCGGCCTGTGCCACTGGCCATTCTGATATCCGACTTTCACTGGACTCAATGACTCCCAGGTTGGGTGTGGGACTGTCCCCAACAGCTAATGAGCACTGAGCAGCTGATTCCACTTTCTTCTCCTCACTGTGACCCTCTTACCTCTGCCCATGACCCTTGGCAGATATGCGCAGGGGAGGGGCTGGACCCAGACCAGCTCCACTGTCCTTCAGCCTGGCACGGCACAGAGAGGTGACTCCTTAGCTGGGTCAGCCCCATCTGGGCTACTGTCCCCCTGCCCCCCTGGCCTTGCTATGCCCAACTCTGTGCACCCTACCTTTCAGCAGCAGCCGGAACTCCTTCAGTAGAGCCTCAGGTGGGATGATGGGGCCTGGGGGGCCCTGGGGGCCAGGAGGCCCAGGGGGCCCTGGCAGGCCAAACTGGAAGGAAATCTTAGCAGTGAGGACACTCAAGGAAGCAGGCAGGGAACCATGGGCAAACCCTCTGCAAACTGTTGTCACTCAGAGGCAGGCAGGACAGCACCTGGCCAGCTGGGTCCTGAGGCCCTAACCTCCAGGTAGAGGTCTGCCTTGGAGCTTCAAATTCAGTGAAAGCCTAGTGCACATGTAAGCGTGAGAACTGGGTTGTGCCAGGCGTGTGGGGATGGCTGGACCCTGCCAGTCTGACACCCTGTATGGGATCCTTTTGGGGCTCAAAGCAGGAGTTAGCCATCAGGACTGACCCTTCAAGGTAAGGGAGAGCGGGAACACAGCAGCTGTCAGGGCCCCTATACCCACATCACTAGGAACTGGACTGTTGTGTCATTGCAGCCACCTGCAGGCTCTCCAGTGTGAGCCATAGTTACTGGGCAAGGCTCTCACTGCCTGAAATGGAAGAGGGAGGAAAGAGGGAAACTCGGGGCTGCTTGGCATTCTAGGGATGTGGGGTAAATGGTGGGCCCAAGGGGGCTCCTGGGTCCTGGCCTAGTGCTTTCTCTGTGTTCTCTGGCCCCCTCCCACTGAGGCATAAGACAGTGTGCTGGTGGGAACAGTCAGTGGCTATAAGTGGGCACAGGTGAGGGACCAGGAGGTGGAGACCTCCACTCACATGGGGCATGTGCTAGGGAACCCCTACTCACCTTCAGTTTCTTGGCCTTGGTCCTGCCCCTCCTCTTGCCATTGACACCCTTGTTGCTCTGCCTGATGAAAAGCATCCAGGCATCCCGTGGGTCGATGCTATGAACTTGGTCTGGGAGAGGCCCCTGCAACACAGCCAGGCTGGGGGGTCAGTTCTTCTCACCCAGCTCTTGCCAGGAGGTAGGACGCTTTGCAGGAGGTGACTGTGCAGGACTGCTTCACACCCTGGGGCCCCAGGCCTTGTTGCCAATATGCCCTTAAAGGCAGGACAGTCCCTGCCCACTCTCCTCCTGGCCCACCATGGCCTGGACTTTGCACTTATTGGGAAGTGGCCCCAGGATGCAGATGAGGGAAGACAGGGCACAGAGCTCTGCAGTAGGTAAGCACCTGGCATCAGAGGGCTGCCAAGCCCTGTCCAGCTTTATTCCTTGAGGTAAACGGAATGATCACACTGCCCTCCCAGGAGGCTCTTATCACTGGAGCACCCATAAGTGCTCAGGGAAGCCAACTGTGATTAGGGGAGACCCCAACTACCAGCCAACCCTCCTGTCTATTCCCCATGGTTAGAAGTTCTAAGGAGGCAGTGTACCCTTGGGGCCACCTAAAAGTGTAGTCTAGGCAGGATAGAGGCAGCAGGGGAGATGTCAGGACTCAAGCCCTCTGCACAGGACACTCACTTCCTCAGCACATCTGAGACACTGGCCCAACCAAGGACAGTTCTATGTGTGCCACATTCTGATAAATCCTGACACTAAGCAAAGTTTTGGGAGGAAAATTCCAGGCTCTTTGGGCAGGGAGCCTCAGGCGGTGTGGGCTCCAGGCAAAGGCTGTCAGCTGGGAAGGAAACTGGCCCAATAGGGCTTAGATGAGGTCATGGGCACCAACTCCAGTGGCTGATGGTAGGACCTGGGATTTAGAGCTGTCCAGGCCCTTTTATCAGAGACTGACCTGGCTGCCAAGTCACTGCTCTATGAGGACCCAGGGCCAGCTTTTGAGAACTGGCCGGCAATGCATAGGGGATGGTGCTGTAGTAGGAAGCTGGGATCTTCCATGCAAGAGGAGCCTCGGGGTGGACAGAGAAAGGCCCAGGGGCCTCCTCCTCACCTAGCGCCTCTGCACACCTTGCTTGGCCCAAGTGGACACCAGGATGGGATGTCTCACCTCGTGGCCACACGGTGCCCTCAGTGGAAAACTGAGGCATGAGGACACAGGCTAGGATGGGCATGCCAAGCTGACCCTGCCAGCTGAACCTAAGGTGGACTTTGGACTTCAGTACGGTTTAGGTACAAGCTCAAACAGGTGGACCAGGTCTGTCTGGAGTCCCAAGGGATGGGTCTAATGCAGTGTTTGTGGGTACTGGGCAGCCACCCTGGCCAACCAACTTCTCAGAAAGGAGCCTTGGATCCTGGGGGCAAGGTCCAAGGCTAAAACTCCACCTGGAAGCATCTGAGCCCACTCTCTGCCTCCCAGAGACTGTGCCCTGACAGCTGGCTGCCTTGCCACCAGGTTGGGGGGTGGCATGACTACCTTCAGTCCATGGCAAGCAGCTGGGGGTGTTGAGGACGGGACAGAGGACTCTGGGGTATCCCCAGGCTGGCAGCCATCTCATCCTTTATAGATGAATTCTGGGCTATCCCTGGCCAGAGGCCCTGTGACCTCTTCCTTCTGTTCTGCCCTTGAGTATCTTCACAATAAATGAAACCCAAACAGTCCTCCAGGAGCAGCCATCTCCCCCCTGACCAAAGGGCCCCTCTGAAGCACCTCCTCATCCTCCCCCTCCCAGGCCTGTGGCCAGACCCTCCCCAGCCTGACGCTCTCTGTGCTCAGCATGTCAGCCTCCAAGGCCACAAGGCCATGGGAAAGAACTGGGCACAGCTAAAGATACCTTGACAAAAAGCCACAGGCTCAGGTTGTCACTCTCCCGGTGAAGGCCCCCTTCCCTCAGACCCAACCGGGACTGCACCACAAGGGTTGGGGGAGTGAAGTGCTTTGCTTATACTTTTTCAGATACATTCTTCCCAACTTCATACAATCAAATTATTTAGACTTACTTCCCAACTTTTTTTTTTTTTTTTTTTTTTTGCTGGCATGGTAGAATTTTGCTTTAAGCCAAAAAACCCAAAAGCCAAGGTCAAGGCTGCACTTTGCAGCGACCGGCTCTGCAGAGGGCGAGTAATGGAGGAAGGCCAGCCTCGTCCCTGCCCAAAGCAAGCGAGACCCACGCCCCAGGGGAGGCGTGGCCGGGGGTCCCTGGAGCGATCCGAACGCCTTACCGGCGGCTGGCCGGCAGGCCCGGTGCGGCTGTCCCCGTGGTCCACCGGCAGCTCGTTTCCGGGCGGCGGCTCCTCGCGGGCGCTGCTCCCCGTGGGCGCAGCGGAGTCCAGGAGGTCCAGGCCCGCGGCGATGGCCAGTAGGCCCGTGTAGACAAGCAGTAGGCAGGCTCTGTTGAGGCGGCGGGCTGAGGCCATGAGGGCGGTCGGTCCCTCGGAGCTCGGAGCGCGGAGTCTCGGGAGTCTCGGGTCCGCGCCTTATAACGCTCTTGAATCCCCCGCCGTACCCGGAGGCGGCGCGTCTCCGCCCAGCGCCCCCTCCCGGCTCCCGCGCGCGCTGAAGCTGAGGGGTGTGCACGACAGTGGAGCCCTCGTGGGGAGGAGACGTGGAGATGGAGTGCGGGTAGGAGAGGAGTGCGGGGGGATGGGGTGGGAGCGCCCAGAGTGCTTGCTCCGGGGCCCTGAGCAGCCCCTGTGGTCCAGCCCTCTCCACTCCTATTCCGGTTCTGAGGCCCCTCCCTGGGCGCTGTCCAGCGTTTCTGCTTCAAGGGCAGCGGGCACCTGTTCCCAGCCCGGGACCCTTGGACTTTTCCACTGCTTTTTTAAAAAAATTTTAATTGTGTTAGCACTCTGGGAGGATGAGGCGGGTGGATTGCTCGAGCTCGTAAGTTTGAGATAAGCCTGAGCAAGGGTGAGAACTTGTCTCTACAAAATACAGAAAAATACCTATCCAGGTGTCATGATGGGCGCTTGTAGTCCCGGCTACTTGGGAGGCTGAGGCAAGAGGATTGTTTGAGCCCAGGAGTTTGAGGTTGCTGTGAGCTGTGATGAAGGTAGTGTGTGCAACTTTGTCATGGTATGTTTGAATGCTTAAACATGACATTGACACACTGGAGCAGGTGCATCGGTGTTAATGGTTAAACCTGTATCCAATTACCACTTATTTAGAGGGGACTTTATCTGTGGACCACAAGATACCCAGTGTAGGGTGTTCTCTTTGCTGGCACCTGCAGTCTGTTGGTAGAGAGGGGTTCCTGTTTCCAGAAGGTGCAATTTCTTGCTTCTGGAAAAGCAGGCCCACACCCAGCACCTCATTGATTTTCCACAGGCCCCACTGACAAGCCCAGAGAGTCAGGCAGCTCTCTCAGGGACACACAGCTCACGGGCAGAGCTGGCGCAGGCTGCTGCAGGCCCTCTCGGCATGTACCACTGGGCATAGTTATATTTTCCCAGCCACACATTTTGCCCATTAGGGTTCTTCCTACTCTAGTTGGTATGAAACATGATGAGTTTGAAGGTTATGGGAGAAAACATAGCCCTGTCCTTTCCCTGCCAGGAAGGTTGCCCACAGACGCAGGGCTCTCTGCCGGGCCTGGCTGGAGCTGTGGCTTGAGGTGGGCAGTGTTCCAGGGACATGGGGGATAAGGTACCTGATTTGGGGGACATGATACAAAGATGTTCTTGTGACATCATTCCAGTTCACAGTAGGGGGCCTCAGTTCATGAGGCCAGTGCTGGGCACAGGAGCCGTTGCTATGTGAAAAAGTTATTTTCCCAAACAATGAACAATCCTAGTGATGTCATAGGTCCTGTCAGAGGGCCCAAATCAAATTGGTTCTGGTGCTGGTGCAGCCTCCTGTAACACTATCCCAAGGTGATGTCACAGCCTGGGATGGGTACAGAGCTAAGAGGGCAGGGGGCCTTCAGGTGGGGGCCCTGTGTGTTTCCAAGGTCACATTGCAAAATAGTGTCCACTCAAGGAGGTCGGGGCCTAGCAAAGAATTGTGTAGATAAAGAGGCACCCCTCCTGCTACGGTTCAGAAGCAGGTCTGGCCTCTGGGCTTAGGTGGAGAATTAGGGTGGAAGGATAGACAGATCTGGAAGCCTCCCCCCTGTGCCCTCACTCCTGCCTGAAATCTAATCCTCATTCCTGGGCCCTCATGTCACAGCCTGGGCCCAGCTTCCCAGCAGCCTAGTGGAGTCAAGCTGTTGCCACTCCTCTCTCCTCTAAAGGAAGGGCTCTTGTGGATGAAATCATGGGAATAAAAACTCCTTCACCCTCGGAACAGCAGGCGCCTGAAGTCAGCTTGATATGTGGCCTCCAGATGGACATGCCAGCAGCCTTTGCTGTTTAAAGAGCTGGCTAAGCTCATGACGTCATCCAGTTCTCAAATCATTATCCCCATTGTACAGGTGAGGAAACTGAGGTTCAGACCTTGGGATTGGCCCATGGTCATTGTGGAGCCACCAAACAAAACCATGTCCCTATTTGGTCCCCACAACTTGAAGTCAATAACTCTGAGGAACCCACAGATTCAATTCAACTCAGATAACATTACTCAGTTCCTGTGGGGGCTGCATGTACTGGGGCAGGCACTCAAGCCATCTCAGGCCGCTTCCATCCAGAGGGACTCTCAGCTGATTTTCTCCTGATTAAAAGCAAGAATGTAGATACTGGTGGTATTGTTTGCCATTCTGCCAAGAATCACATTTTTGTGTTTTTTTTTTT